CTTTGGATAAAAGCGTCTGCTAAATGACTAAATGTAAATGTTTACTTTTATTTTTGCACACTCGCAATAAAAAGAACATTTGTGTTTTTGTAATTAAGCAAACAAACAGGATGCGCGTTCTGTCATCTCGGTTCTCGGTTTTCTTTCCGTGAAATTGTTTGCAGATCGCTGCGCCTCACACCTGTTTTACATCTGTTAATTATTTATGTCAGATATATTTAGCATATTCATACCTTTTCTATATAGATTATGATTACGATGTATTTTATTTTTATGGAAACAAATTTTGTTATTTTTAATGTAACTTACATATATTTGCCTTATATCCTATATTTAACTTATATCCTGGCGACCCATTTTTGACCCAGGGTTTGAAAACCTAGGCTGTATAGTTAGGTCCATGCAGAAACTTGTGAACGATGCTCTTATAGTTGTGTCATCACCTTTTAGTGACGTCACTGAATGTTCCGGGAAAACTGAAGTTGCATTGTCAGTGTCGGTCACGGCACCTTTTAACTGCTCATTTGGATCCGGCAAAGTTTCATTTACAAATTAAGCACTGCCATATAGCATACATGAATCACCTCGTAGCAGATCTATACATTAAGAGAATTTAATAAAAGCTTGATTGAGTTGCAGTAATTTTGTAGTACAGATCAACCATTATTTAAAATCAACAAGGCGCCATTAGTTTATTGTATTACTTCCATGAGCAGGGTTCAGTTGTAATAAACATTGTCATTTATGTTACATAAACGACAGGATGGCACCCAAACAAGCAGTCGATCCCTTTTGTCATATTATGCAATATTTTTAGTTCTGTCATGACAACTCTCGGAGGGATTGACATGGTAATGGTAATGTATTTGGTCTTGGCGGAATAGATCTGATACGCTGCTGTTGCTGCGGCAGAGCAAGTACCGAGACTTGCTACTGCCAATACATCCACAATGTGCTGCTGTGAGCATGTAAGAAATATTGCTGCTGCAAATATAACATACATGAAATAACCCCCATATAGCATAGATGAATCACCTCATAGCAGATCTATACAGGTGGAGCTGGGGAAGTTGGAGGGTTTCTGAAGCAAGCTGCAACTGCTACAGCAAGCACTAGTCATACATTTGAATGTTGAGCAGCGAGCTCATTGGCTACCGACACAGGAGAGAACCAATCAGCTGTGCCATGTGATAATGATCTCAATGGGTCAGATTGAGTTAGACCTATTGGACTGCACCATCTAGAGTTTCATGCCAGAACTCTGTATTTAAGATCTGAAGAGAATCATACTGCATCGTACATTGAGAGAGAGATTGAGAGCGAGAGAGAGAGAGCGAGAGAGAAAGAGAAGTAATTTGGATAAATAAATAAATAAATAAACCAAACCTTAAATTTTGAATATATATGGTAAAACTTTAAAATAAGGTTCCATTTGTTAACTATATTTAATGCATTATGTGACATTAACTAACAATGAGCAATACATTTGTCACAGTATTTATGAATCTATTAATAGCTCAGGTTTATTAATAACATTTTTTGTTTTATTTTAATAATGTATTAGTAAATGTAGGAATCGACATTAACTAAGATTAATAAATGATTTAGAAATATTTTTTACTGTTAGTTTAGGTTAACTAATGTACTTAACTAATGTTAACAAATGGAACCTATTGTACCAAGATTACTTATTATAAAGACCAAATACCTATTAATACCTATTAAACCCATGCTAATTTTCCAGTTAGTATATTTTCTGCTCATTAACATTCTGGTGACAAGTGAAAATACTATTTAAAGCTGCAGTCCGTAAGTTTTGCCTCTTTGTCGCCATCTCTGTTTGAAAACCTGCAATTGCAGCTTTTTGCGGAATTATCTTCCTTGTGTGGGTTGTGCTCCGGCGCGGCTCCAGCGCGGATGAATCTAATGTTTTGAGGAGTATGTGTGGCAGTCAGTCACCGCACCGGTGTGGATACTGTACTTTTCTATCACAGATTCTAGCCTACGTCTTGGAATATATGACCCAAATAAGAATTTTCACCGTATATTGTCATCTGAACAAGTAAGTAACAAGTCTGCCATGTTTGTTCTGACCAACTGAGGAAAACAGCATTACAATAAATCGTGCTACCAATGGTGATTTAATCTAAAGATCGTAATCTTTAATCTAAAGTTAGCTCATATCACATCAAACCATGCAAATTATTATTATTGTTATACTTTATTCTCAAATTATTAATGTTAACAACATCAGCATTGCGTGACTATGAGTATTTATTAGCATGTAGATTTCAATTTCTGTACAGTCTAATCTCTAATTGTCAATACCATTCGAATTTCATATTAAGAAATTATTTTAACCTTATTTACACAAGATTACATCTTGTGTAATCCCAGGCTATCTGTAATCAGAAGCACATTTATAACTGGAATATAATTTAATTTCATTCACATGTGTTTCATAAACACATAATCCTTTCTGGATTACAATCCGCCATCAAAATGATACATTTAATTATTCTAGCT